GGGGGGGGGGGGGGGGGGGGGGGCGGGGCCGGTACCTTGCTTGTTCTCGTTCAGCTGCCGCTCGAACTCGTCGAAGTCGGACATGGCGGCGACGGAGCCCTCACGGAGCCCTCACGGAGCCCTCAGGAGCCCTCAGGAGCCCTCACGGAGCCGCCCGCTCCTCTCCCGGCCGCGCTCAGGCCGCGCTCGGCTCCGCTCGGCCACTTCCGGCCGCGCTCGGCCACTTCCGGCGCCGCTCGGGCAGCGCTCGGCGCTTTCCGCCTCCGCTTCGGGGCCTTTCCGCCGCGCTTCGGGTTTTCCCGTCGCTGCTCGGGTTTTTCCGCTAATGATCGATGATTTCCGGCCCCGCTCGGGTTTTTCCGCGCGGGCTCGCAGCTTTCCGTCAGTGTCCGGGTTTTTCCGCTACCGATCGGCGCTTTCCGCTCGTGCTCGGCGCTTTCCGGTTCCGGGCCGGCGTTCCGGGCGCGCCCGGTTCTCTCCCGTTGCCGTTCGCCGCTTCCCGCCGCCGTTCCGCGCCCTTTGAACCGTTTTCCGTCACTTTTCGCCGTTTTCTGCCGCTTTTGGCCGCTTTCCCTCCCCGTTCGCACCCCCTCGGCTCCTCTACGTCACTTCCTCCGCGGCCCGCTCAACTTCCGGCGGCCGCCCCCGGTAAAACCAGGCCCTCCGGTTGGCCCCGCCCCCTCCGGTGCGGCCACGCCCCTTTCCCTGTGTGCCCCGCCCCTTCCCGCGCTGGCCCCGCCCCCTCCCCTCAGGGCCGCTTTTGGCGGGAAACGGGAGCGGCGATGGCGCCCCCTGGCGGCCGGCGGGAATTCTCGCGCGGGGCGCAAATCTCGCGAGATTTCACTTTTTGGGGGGGAGATTTTTCCCCTTTTTTTCGGGTTTTGCCTCAAAATCCTCCCCGAGGGGAGCCCAGAGGGAGCCCGGGGGAGTCTGAGGGGATTTGGGGGAGATTTGAGGGGATTTGGGGGGGATTTGGGAATCCCTGATTTTGGGGAGTGCCCGGGATGAGGAGAAAAATGGGAAAATTGGGGAAAAAATCGGGAAAAATTGGGGAAAATTTGGAATTTTTTTTGATTTTTGGGATGAGCACGGGCAGGGACACCCGTGGGAATGTGGGAAATGGGGGGGGGGGGCCCCGCAGGGCCGTCGGGGGCCCCGGGGC